TTTACCATCTCCAGTTAATATTTTAAGATTTGAAGATGATGATTGTGAATATATAACTTTTATTATGATGATAGATTTTTACTAATTAAATTTGATCTATAAGTTATTTTATTAAGTTTCATTTAGTATAAAAATAATTCACATAAATAAGTATTTCCAAAATAATAAAATTTTTAAAAAAAGTTTTCTTTTTTAAAATATCATAATATATAATGCGCTATCGACTGTATAAAAATTTTTTAATCATATAATTGATACATCATATAATATTTCACAGAAAATAAGTAAAATTAACAAAAATTATAATCTTTATTGCTATAGTAATCAAAATTACTATAATGCTACAATGATAAGCATAATAAATAATAAATAATATTATAAATTTTTATAATATTTTATAAAATATTAAATATAAATTTAATTTTCTTATATTTATATTTATTATGTATAATTTTCGTCCTCTATTAGCATAACATCTTTTTCTTTTCACTATATCGTTATTCTTTCTAAGAATATAAATTGTATACATAAAATTGTAAACACTTGTTTCCTATCTGTTACTATAGGAAATATATTTTCTTCACTTTTATTATTATTATATATGATATAGTTTTGATAAATATAATGGGTTAAAATAAAAAAATCATGTTGAGTATTTTAAATAGAAAAAAAAATTTAATAATGTATTTTTATTAATAATAAGAAATTAATAATATATTCTTATTAATAAATTCTTATAAGTTTTATTTATAATTTATTATTTATAATTTATAAATTATATATAAAGTGTAATAATATAAATCTATAATTTTATGTATCATTCTAATGTTCTTCTAAGGTAATTAAAGTAAACCATCATTTGAACTTTCTTATTAATTCCATTTATAAATTCATTTTGCTATGATAATATGAAATTTTTCGATCAGTCGTTATATATAATATCAACATTTATATAATATTTTGAAAATCTTATTCCATAATTCACTTCAAAACAGAATGGCTTTTTCAGTTATAATTCAAAAATTGAATAAAAATATTGATTTCAATGACACAGATTATTGTATTATATTATAATTGCGATGCGTCGGTTATAAAATATATTAAAATATTAAATAACAATGTTATATAATAATATTAAATGTTATATTAACAAACTCGAGTATATTTATTTTTTTTTAGTTTTATATTCAATATACATGCAACTAAATAATAAGTTGGCAAGCAAATGATTTCTTGAAAATGAAAAAAAATAAATAAAAAATTTTTTATACTATTAATGAAATTCACTAATTTTAATTTTTGAGTGAATTATCAATGAATAGAATGAATAGAATAGGAAAAATATTAAAATGAATTTTACTATTTAAATCCTTATTTTTGAGAAAATCAAGATATACATCGTATAATCGACGAATTATAAAAATTGTGTTTCTCAAAAACTAATTATTAATTTTTAATTTAATTAATTTAAATTATAAATAATTAATTTTTAATAAATTTTAATAAACAAAATCTGATTTAATTTCAATGTCATTATCAATGTCATTTTTTTACATATTTACATATTTAAATTATAAACAATGCAATGTATATTAAATATAAGATACATTAAGTACATAAAATAAAAATAGAATAAATAAAATAGATAAAACTAAAATAAAATAATATTAAAATTTTAAGTACATATTAAGTATATATTTTTTATTATATTTGAAATATTTTTTTATATATCAAATAATTAATATAAAATTAACATAAAATAATATTAAAATTTTAAATATATATTATTCTTAAATTGTTAGTTACATTCGAAATATTTTTCTCAATGTCTAATAATTAATTTAAAATTATTAGCACATAAAATTTAAGATGGATATAATATAGATGGAATTTTGTGTTACATATTCCAAAATATCGATTTTAAAAAAACAGAATTTCTTACGTTCTATGATTTGAATATAATTATTATAGCTAATATAAAAATTATATTCATTTTATCTTTAAAGGCGATATATATAACAATAATATAACAATTGTTATATAGTATATAACAATTGTCTCTCAAATTAAACAATTTTGAAAATTCTATTCTGCGATGACGGCAGTGTGAAATTAAAACAATATTACAATATTATTTCCATTTTATCTCTTACACAAATTTTCTTTTCCTACAAAACAATTGTTTCTAACTTAAAATATCTAATAACTTAATAATATAACTTATTAATAAAATAATTTAATAAATCACAATCGATATTTTATATTAACATTTATGTTTGTTTTAACCTGTAGAATTAATAATTTAAAGATATCTCAGGAATATATTAATACCTTTATGTATTCTTTTAGTAATTTAAGAAATTATTTTATAATTAATTTATAATTTATAATTAATTTATTCAATAATTTATTTTAATGAACATCATGTAAATTATAAACATTGATCTTGAAATATATTATGAAGATCATTATTCTGAATAACTTTTTCCTATATATATAACATATTTTTAGCTTTAAAATTAAAAATTTTAAATTAAACTTTAAATTAAAAACACATTAAAATACTTATTGCATTGAATATAGTAATACTTATTTATTAATTTCTTAAGATCTCTTTTTAAGTTATAAATAAAAATTTATAAATTTATGTATTATGAATATATGTGTGTGTGTGTATATATATATGTCATGAAATAAGAGTCAAAGTAAATATTCAGTGCTTTCTCTTACACAATAAAAAATCTAACCTAAACTTTAAAATTATTTTTAGATAAATTAAAATAAAAAGATTAATTAAGTTAAATTTTAATGTAATAGAGATAGCAGAAATGCAGCATCCAAACTTTTACATTATTAGATATATATGTTAAATGAATATACATAAATTATACGAGAAACTATAATATATAGAAAATTTTTCAAGTTATTCTATACATTTATTCGTTTCATATATTTTTATTTATAAAATATATAATTGTCATTATTTTAAAAAAAATATTTAATTACTCAGAAAAATATAATTTTTTATTTACACTCTATTAAACATATAATATTTTATATATAATATATAAAATATAAAATTTTGTCGAAAATTTATGTCGTTTTAAATTAATTTTTTTTTATAAATATTTTGAAAATTGTAAAAGACCACTGATTAAGTTAAAAAAAATAATAAGAAAAAATTATTTAAAATGGTTCTTTATATATATTAAAATTAAAGTCATCGGCAAATTATAATTACTTTAAAATAAATTACTTTATTTTAAAGTAAATAATTATCATTTATTCATTATTTAAGATTAATGTATAATTCCATATTTTTAATTAATAATTTTTAGTTGATAATTATTCAAAACATTTGTTTTAACATATATTACTTTGACCTGTTTATTGAAATTCTAGAATTCGCCAGAAATATACCCAACGATATCGTCGTGTCACGACCGAGAAGTTTACTTACTCTATAGACAAAGTTTTTTGTTAATAACTCGTAATAGCAAAATAAAAATATTTACGAAGGAAAAAGTTGCTTATTTGAAATTATTTTAAGAATTTCTATTTAAGTTATGAAATATATTCATATTTTTAGATTACTTTATATATATGTATTATATATTTAAAAAATATCTTTAAAAAAAATAATTATAATTCTTATGTGTAGTAATAAATCATAGACATAAGAAATTTATGTATTTCGGAAATGATATTTTGGTTTGTATAAAAAGTTTCATAAACTGGTTGAAATAATAATTTTAAAATTCTAATAATTTTTTCGATTAGCGAACGGTTTAGTATATAAAAAAAAAAGATTTAAATTAGTATATTTGAGTTTACTTTGGAAATCAAATGGAAGAGATGTAACTGTGAAGTGGAATAAATAATAATAAATATATAAATATATAATAAAAATAAAAGTCAAAAGTGGAAAATATGTAAAGAAAATTTTAAAAATCAAACTAAAAAAGAGCATGATACAAATATATGTACAAATATAAGATTTATTTTTTTCATCAACAATAATTTATTTATAATATATAAATAAAGATATAATTTGTGAAAAAAATTTTTATTTAAATATATCCATTTTATTAAATGAAATAACATTTCTGAAAAAAAAATATCTTTAAATTCAAAATATTATAACTTAATACTTTTAAAAAAATCACAACAAGATTTTTTTAGTCTCAATTTCATATTCTTTTGATTTCTGATAGCAATTTATTAGCATTTTCTATTTCATTATAAAATTAGTTATATTTTATTGTTATATTTTTATAATTATGTTGATATTATTGATAATATTGATTTTATAAAAATTTTTAACATAAAACGATTTCTCTCTTTTTATGTATAATATTTCAATTAGCGAAAATAATCTTTCTAATCCGATATTGAAAAATAATATTAACAAATATTCAATATATCAGAATTCTAAAATTTTTAATTATTCGATTATTTGAAGTAAAATCTATTTTAAATTTAATGATATTTTTTCAAATATAAAAAAATTTAAAGAAAAAGATAAAAAATTAAAAATAAATAAAAAAATAAGAGTAAAAAAAAGAGACTATTTTCTTTATAAGAATAATTCTATAAATAATAGATAGTTACTTCCTAATGAGTGGGAAAGCCTATATTTAAAAATTCAACAGAATGGATTTACTAGATTAAATCGTTTTAGTAACTTATTGAAATGAATCATGTTAGTAAATCCTAGTGCCTATTTATTATATTTAGTAAATTACTAAATTATTTACTACTGATTAAATTACTAAACATGTTTGAAATAAATTCTATAAAATATTGTATCTATTCTATTGTACTAATAATTTAAAAATAATCTATAATTAAAAATTTAAGGTTAAACTTTATTTTGATGCATTATAAATTGTTAATTTTTCTTGTATTTTCTAATAATTTTAAGGAGTAAAGTTCAAAAATGTTAATTTTAAATATAGGAATCTGATTTAAAAATTATTTATGTGTAAAGTTGTAGTGATTTTAAATGTATTTGATAAGTTACTAGAATGCCATATTGGTTTCTATCTACAATTCGTCCAATGAACGAAGTCACTGCTATATATGAGGAACAGTTAAATAATAATTTCAAAATACTGAATTGGTTAACGTTAATTTTTCTCTGATCGTCTACCGCAATAGCAACGTGATTGTTATGTTGGTAAGTTATTTTTATTTCAATTTCGAATCGATTCGTATCATACAAAAAATCATTGCAATTGTATCATAAATTATGCAGATAAATTGGAAAAATAAATATTTAATTGAATTTGACTTATTATGTTTAAGTAATCGTCACTCTTATACAAATAGTTTTATTGAATTCCGTTTTATTGAACGATACAAATCAACATGGCGTGATCTATTAAATATATTTAAAATCATTAACTTCATAAATAAGTTTTAAATTAGTAGATTTTTAAAATCAATATTTTTATTCTATTCATAAAAAATTATTTCTATTCATCAAATCTATTAGAAGGTACAAAAATTTTTGATGTCTAAAAATAATTTTTGATGTCCAAAAATAAAGTTTAATTAAATTTTGATTTTTATTATTTTATTTTATGTATTTTATATTTGATAATTTATTATACATTGCATTTTTATAATTATTTTTAAATTTTTAATATAATTGTTTTTAATTTTATAATTGTTTATAAAAAATATGTGTACAAAATAATATATACTTTGATTATATATTGAATATATATTGGTAGTTTTAAAAATTAAATCAGAGTTTATTGAAGAGTAATAATAAAATTCATTTAATATTATTATCATTTAATATTAATAAAATTCATTGAATATATTTTCATTTTAATTATTTTAATTAAAAGTAATTTTTATTATTTTATAGACAATTTTTATTAGAATTTATAATATTTTTTATTTTATATATTATAAGAAATTTTTTTTTCCTTATATAGAATATATTAGAATGATTTCAATCGTGCAATCAAACAAAAGGATATTTGTAGGAAGGAAAGGAATTTCTACAAGCTAATGTAAGTTAAAAGAAAAAATTTATTTATTTGCAATGTTTTGAAACTTCTCCTTATTTTATTATTAATTTATTAATATTATTATAAGATTACATTTATATTATATATATATATTTTTACAAAATTTTTATAATTTCAATAATGATATATATTACTATTATATGTTACTTTTATTGAAATTCTTTTATATAAAAAATTATAAGATAATAAAATTTAAATATATTAAAATAATTTTAAATTATATATTGTAACATATTTATATATTATTTATAAGTTATAAATTATGCATCTTATGCATTCTTCATTGTTTTTTTAAGCAAATTGCTTATATCTTTATAATTTTTTGAATTCATTATTTTATTTGATTTGCTTTATTTTTAATAATGTATTTTTGATAATGTTTGATAATGTGTTTGATAATGTGTCATTGTCCTAAAATTTCTGTTTGATTATATATTACAGAATATATAATTGTTTGTTTTCTAATAGTTATAGAATAATTAATTATATTGAATAATGAATTATATTATTTCAAATAAAATGACTTCAAGTAAAATTATTAATGTTAATAATTTCATTAAAAATTTTATTAAAAAAAATTCAATAAATTTTGTTAATTAAAAAGCAAGATTAAAATTATTATTTGATTTCATTAATTTAATTAATTGGTATGAGATTCATTTATTTTTTACAATTATATTTTATAATTGTCAATAATTTTTATATTAAACTTATTTTTTTTTTAATATAATCTTTTTAAAAAATATAATTTTTTAATATTTGTACTACATTTTTTTTTGCCTTCTTTGGCTTGTTTTATATTTTTCTCNATTAAAAATAAATAATATAACTCCACAAATAAATATTTTTAAAATAATTTAAAATAAATTAATTTATATCACTGATCTCAAAAATCAATATTTTTATTATAAACTATTTAAATACTTAAATGAAATATAATTTTAAAAATGTAATATTCAATGCATTAATAAAATAAAATATTTGACTGTTATTCCATTTTTAATTTTAAATTCAATATAATTTTTCTA